AAGACAAAAGGCTCACTTAGTCGCAGCGTTTAACACAAGCTGTGGTGCAAACATTCAGCCACAAACGTTGACGGGCGTTGACGGGTGTTTACGGCGCGCAGGGCAACGTTAATGAGGATTTGGACGTCGGTATCAGATGTATTACAGTTGTTTTTCTCCATGTTCGATCCTGAAATATTTCACCAATATCAGACAGATATCGTTGAAATATTTCACCAATATCAGACAGATCTTGATCTTGAGTGTCGGATCGATCCATCCCTTGTTACCGACTCCTGTTTGATCTTATATTAAAGTTTGTTTTTGAAGCAGACACCACCTGTCTGTTACAGTGAGAACTGCAGAGTAGGTGTGGAGGAAAGGTCACTCCTGACTAAAACACACTCAGCTGCCAGGACCACTATCTGTCTGTGTGTGTGTGTGTGTGTGTGTGTGTCCACTGCAGACACAGGCCTCTGTTTAAAGATAAGAGGAAGGAAACAGACACAGGATGAGAGCTGCACCCTTTCCCTCTCCATGTCGTCTCCACTTTCCCTCACCGACGCTCTGACTTCACTGAACCTTCACTGTAACCGTCTGTACCTTCACCGTAACCATCTGTACCTTCACCGCAACTGTCTGTACCTTCACCGTAACTGTGTGGACGACTGACTTTTCAAGTTCATACAGAATATATCATCACTGTTTTTCTTCAGCTTCATTTTTAAATTGCTCATGTATTTATATGAATGTATTTGAACCAATGTATTGACATCTTTGTTGCATTAACATTATTTCATTTTTTTGTTAGACTCTACTCTGTTACAGATGGTCTGACAGGGACATGAACTCGTTCGTCCACATTAGTCCCACATGCCGGTTTTTAAAGGCTACAAACGTATCATTTAAATGTTCACAGGAATGACAACAGTGAGAGGCAGCGTTGTAATTACTGCTGTAGGTTCGTGATTTAAGACCCAGGTAAAGGTGGTTTGTGTGAGTTACTCCGTGTCAGTTGTCACACATCACAGACAGTAATAATCAACACTGGTGTCAGCTACAGTCCTGGACACAGAGCTTATTAAGGTCAGTGAGAATAAAAGTACCGTAAATAGCTGTAGGATAAAAAACTCTGAAAAAATGGTAAATTGATGCCGACTGTGGACGATTGCTCTTCGGCGTAACGACAGGGTGTTGTTGACTTTCTATTCATTCAGGGAAGAACTGATCTGACACTTTATATTCTCAGAACTTCAGTCACTCAGTGTTTGTTTCACCTGTTTCTTTTAATGCTACGTAGAGAAGGGAGCACAGAGGACTTTACCTCGACAGATGATGGCAGCACATATTACAATAATGATCTTCAATGTGGAACCAGGTCATGTTTAGTGGAACACAACGCTGACATAGTCGCAGGAATTGAGGAAAAAATGCAACAGAAAAAATAAACCAACGCCATGAATATCTGCATGCATGTTGTTGTGAAACTAAATATCACAGTATTTCAGTGTATCAATGTTTTCGTACACTCCTATAACACAGTACGTACATCGGTTCAGCTGATATTTTATCCAAAAAAAACAAAACATGCAGGAATCTTCAAAATTACATATAAAAAAACACTTTGACCCTAATGAAAAAATCTTCCAATTTTCTCTCCTTATCATAAAAGCAGAGTCAAGGCCGTGCCAGGTTTTCCCTTCACTTTCAGATCCAAACAATGGCGTTTGTCTATTGTGCTGTTCTTGACGGATGTTATTGAAATGGTGGTGCGGAAGTCGCCGGTTAAAGTAAATAATGTGGTCGTCAGTACACACAAGTATTCACATACTTCTATGTCTCCTGTTTAAGTGGTTTCAACACTTCGTCGCAGACCTCCGTGGCTACTGAGTAACCACAAAACAAGGTTATGGAAACACCGCCGGCTCCGCTTCATGACATTAAAGGGCAGTCGCAGCAGCTCAGCACGGAGCTGCCACAGTGATGTCAGAACACAGAGCGGTGATGTGTTACAATCTGGTCTGTGGACCAAGTGTGACAGATATAATAAAAAGGACTGAAGGGAATCAGTGAAGGATTTGACCATTTGTGCAGGAGGGTTAAAGATTAACAGGGAAGGTCAGAGGTCAGAGGCCTGATGAAGCCCAGGCATGCACCTCACCTCACAGGACAAGACCAGACCACAGGCCAGCTCCTTAGACCTGACTGCACAAGTGTGAAATGTAAAAGTAAAAAACAGGTTCTTTGGTCAGTACCAGTCGGTACTGTTGACTTTGGGTTCCTGCTGGGTCTGTAGTTTTATTTAATTTTTTTTAGATTTAAAACAAATTAATATTCATCAAATGCTATTTTTAAGGCAGAATAAATGTAACAAATAAAAAAATGTTTTTTAATTCTGTCTTAAAATATATTTTTCATAGGAATTTTCACAGGCATTATTTACAAAAAAAACATAAGTACACCACTTCCCATTATGGCAGTAGTGCTTTATTAGTATTCATATTATTATCAAGGAGAAGTAATAAAACTTATTGTATAAAATGACTATTTCTCGTTATATTGTGCTGTTTTTATTATTAAGTTTTATTTGTTCTTATTATTTTTATTCACAAGATCACTGTTATTATTCATTGCATCCTTGATCCTGAAGATCAATGAACGATTAAGCCAATCTGTTACCTTATTGCTACGACAACAAACCATGCTATTTTATGCGCTAAACACTCACTAGTTGAAAAAAATGTTTTTTGTTTTTTTTTGTACTTTCTTTTGAAAATCACCTATAAGGAACTCACCTATAAGTTCAGGAGTTCGTCTTTGTTTCTCAACTGTAACAGAGACTCCAGGTTTAAAATATTCATCGACCCATTAATAGTTGACAGTAGGTTTTGTACTAGTTCAGAGTAATTACATGCTGTTGTACCACTTACACAAAAGGACCATTTTACAGCAGAGTTACCTGAGCTCTGCTGGACTCTGTCGGGAAGGAAACGATTTCTCTATTTCCAAATATTATCAAGACTGTCATTAGGTGATGATGGTTCAGAACATGTTTTTACTAAAACCTCCTTTTTTTTTTACTACATACTAGTTTTAGACTAGTTGACACTTGAGTCAATGCAATCATCTATTTTATGGCAAATTTATTTTTTAATAATTACCCAACACTTTAAAAAATATATTTTTAAAAAATATATATTTATTAATAATTTATTTTTAATATTTTTTTATTTAGAGTTTATTTTCCTAATTTAATTTGCTTTGATAGGACATACGTCATGTTTAGAAAATTAAATTAAAACTATTGTCCTTTTTTTCTTTCCGTAAAAACGTTTAATAATGGCTATTGCTAACAGTTGCTTTCATTGAAATAAATAAATAAATACAGAAATAAATAAATAAAACATCATGTAACTGCCACTCATCTCAGCCGGCCCAGGTAGAACCAGACAACTATGACGTAGTCCCACCCCTCCTGTTCCACCTGAGGCGCCCGAAATGACTCCAGAAACAAAGAATGTTCGCGTCACTGCTGCAAAAGAGTTTTTTTAAAAAACAACACGGTGTGGTACATTTAAAGTAAATATTAGCGACTTTTCAGAGGTTTACTCAGAATAGGTTAGCGACACCAACGGCAGGTGAAGGTGGGACAACGTTTCTACTCGGGTTTGTTTTCTGCGTTGAACAACCGACAAGTTCATTTAAACTAAAGACTACTGTTCAAGACACACGAAACACCGTCAAAGATAAAAACAATATGGTCATTTTGTGTGGTGTGTGGTGAAAATAAACTAAATACGAATGAAGTCAACGGTTCGTGACGGTCGATGACTAATGAAATGTGTTAGTAAAAGAATCCAGGAGACACTCACCGAGCGGTTGGACCGTCGCTTTTTTGATCCGCGCAGGAACATGATACGATACGACGAGACGTTCAAAGAGGTAAATGTGTAAAAATCCCGGAAACCAATCCTGAAATAGTGAAGAACAAAAGCCGAAGCCAAGGAAAAGGAACGAACGCGACGTCTGTTGAACTACATGGTTTCCCTCGTTGACTGTCCGACACTTTTTTTTCTCATACCTTCTCGGCTAACTACTTTAGGGACATAAAGTCAACAAGCCAAAGTTCAACGGAGAAATTACACTTCCTGTAGCTTTTCAGAATAAAACACAAATCAAAATAACTGTATTCTTCTTCATTTTCAGGGCAACAGTAACAATAGTGTGTGTCACTAATTAAATATAAAGCAGAATTAAACAGACATATTTAGCAGTATTGGACAAAATTCCTTGAAAAAGTGTTTTTTCCCAAATTAAATTTTACTACCTTTAAAAAACGGAAATGAATGTAATTTAGCAGTATTGGACAAAATTCCTTGTAAAAGTGTTTTTTCCCAAATGAAATTTTACTACCTTTAATTTAAAAAACGGAAATGAATGTCCACTTTAAGGACCATTACCTAACTTGACAAAACCTTTACCAATAACACTCCCGGTAACACCTCTAAGGTTTTGACATATGCAACAAATTAAAAACTAATTATTCAGACAACATAATAAAAATAAATAAATTAAAAAAAATAAATGTTCTAATTTAAACAGTAAATTCGAATAGTTTGATTAAAAAGTACACGCCGACTGGAGCTTGGATGCTTCCAATTCGGTAGCATTCCCTTTGGGTTGCTGCCATCTAGTGGCGATCTCTTAGGAAACAACCTTAGCGACAATGTAAATTCTAGCTTGTGACGTGTAATTATTGAGGATTCAACAGAATTTTTTTTTTTTTGCAGTGACAATGGCTTTTATTTCCCAAAACATCTTTTTTTTTTAAAGTTACAAACTGTAGATTCAGGAAAATAGTCATAACAACATTAAGGCACACTTTTGGTTAGACAGATCAAGTTGAAGGGGTAAAAAAAAAACAGTCATAAAACATAGGAAATATTCCAAAAAAGTCTAATAAATTCCACCTGTTTTTTTGTTAGAAATTATTTTTGTGTTAATCGACAACATAAAACGTTCACTTCACTACTTGACCTTAAAAGGTGTTTAATGAAAAATACTCAGCATCATTAGGATGAGTTATAAAAAACAAAAGAAACGAAAACAACCTGAGTAAGGCTGAAGGTGTACAGGCAGAACTGGACAGAGACGCTTCAGATGGGAAAACACTGACTGACAGTAAATGTGTGAAATAATTCCCAATTAGTGAAAACGCGTAAAAAATATCGATGGTAAATGTCTTTATAAGTTTAAAGGATGACTACAACAAAACGACAGGTTAATGTGGATGAGACTTTAAGGCCCTGCTGCTGCACAGACATGAATAATTTAACGAAAGAAATGTTTGAACTGCTGTAAAAGAAAAACTGAACTAAAAAAAAAAGAGAAATGAAACTTCAGAAGAATTTTGACAGTTAAAAATAAAATATATCTAAAGCACCCTTTAGCTTAACTTCTTCAGACCGAATAACAAAGTTACTACTTAATACAGCAGTGCATAGACAGTAGACACGTTTCAAATAAGCTTCATGATAATATCAACCATGTCGTTTAGTTTTCCCTTTTTTAATGAGCGCTACGATGAGGTTGGTTCATGTGCGAGACACTGTTACCGCCCACTGTGACATTATCACATCAAACAAAAACTTTTTTTCTTTTTTTTTTTAATCCATTCAGTGGCATTGATTAAACCCGTGACTGTGTTCACTTGACTGTCCATCATCCTTTTTCTACTCTGTCCTTCCGGTAGTTTCTGCACAATCGTCCTTTTCCTTTTTTCCTGCTGCTGCTGCTGTTTTACATGTTTTTTTTTTCACACACATGTCGATGTTAAACCCGGTCGTCTAAACAGGAAAGAAAAAAACAATTAAGATTCCAGTTCGGCACGTTCCGATGCAGTTGTACTTTGATGAGTGTGTAGTAAATAAATACACAGTGTCAGTGTGTGTGTGCTGCCTCACCTGTGGACGCTGCAGTGTGCTGCCTGCTGCTCTTAATCTGCAGGTAGATGGTGTAGGTGTCGTAGGCAAACAGCAGACCAGCGATCAGTCCCCAAACACCTGGGAGGAAAAAAAAAAAGAAAATATAAATCAACATCAGGTTCACATGTGATTTCACTGTAACGTGGAGACAGATGTGGAATTCTCAGGTTGCACAGTTGAAATAAAAAGAAAAAAAGAAAGAAAGTTCTGCATTTAAATCATCCGTGTACAGGCAGAGCGGTAACTGGTGTCAATGAGAGAGACAAAATCTTTTTCTCAGGTTGCACAGTTGAAATAAAAAAAAAATGGATTCAAATCGTCCGTGTACGGACAGAGAGGTAACTGGTGTCAATGAGAGAGACACAAAATTTCATTAATATCATAATGACTGGCAATATACTGCAGCAAGGTTGTCCCAAAGTGGGGGGCAGGGCCCTCTGAGGGCCCAGAGATTTTGCAGGGATGATAACAGTAGAATGTTAACCACCGTCTTCATCGTCACGTAAGAAGTTATTCTTACATAAGGGTTGTTCTACAGAGTTCCGTCTACAGGAAGATTTGTGGAAGAGAAAAAAGAGGAAGTGAAACCAACAAATGGCCAATAGTAATATTTTGGTGAAAGTATTTATATATAAAATAAAAACTCAGCGACACGGATAAGAATACTATTTGGGAACTCAGTCTGCAAAACTTACACTTCATCTCACAACGTACTAGTTGAAGAAACAAACGTTTAATGAAAACAGGTTCCTGTCGTTGTAGTTTTACGTCCAGACAGAGTTTATTTCACGATGTCGGTGCAGAACACACTTCCTGCAGTGTCTGAGTGTCAACTGTAGGAGCAGCGTTCACAGACGAGCTCTCTCTGCTCCACTGAACTCTGTATGAATGAGAGTTGAATTAATAACTACGGCCTCCGGTCACACTGAGCTGCAGGAGACATCAGTCTTTCCTCCACCGTCGTCTTGTCCACGTCCTTTTGTTTGTGTGTTTGTTATTTTCTCACCTACAGCAGCGAGGCCTTAAACAGGAGACCTGTTCGTCTGAGTCACTGTTCTGAGAAATTATGAAGAGTTGTTTGGAAACCATGGCAACCATATGGAGATCACACACACGATTGGATGAATGTGATCGTCATAACCACAGGTTCTGTGCCCCCGGTTGAAAAAAAAAAAAAAAAAAAAAAAAAAAAATCACCTACAGAGCGGCTCTTTAGTCATCCATTTACTCAGGCTCCCTTGAAATGATTCATTTCTTTCTGATTATTCGTTGCTCTTCCAGAAAGTGTCGTTGAATGAACTTGAAGCAGCATTTGAAAATACTTCTCTTTAACTACTGTCATTATTTTTTATTTTTTGCAAAATAAATTAATGCATCTCAGAAAGCCAGACCTCTCTGGACAGATGTATCTGAGTCGTTATATTCTGTCTGACTGCTCCTGCTCTCAGTTTGTCATTTTTGACCATTATATCTTTATTTCTCCCTCAACATCAAAAAAAAAAAACAAGTAGTGAAACTAAGTCTTTTGTGCAACCTCATCATTCAGAACCCCGAGGGTCCAACTCACCCCGCCTGCGATCCGGGCCCCGTCCCCGGCTCCTCCAATGACACAGATGAGAGAAGTGATGAGGTAAATGAGGGCACCAATCCCAGCGCGGAACAGATCCTGAACATGAGCAGGAAGAGGAAGACGCAGAATTATGCAACCTGTGGCACTGCGGTTGTACAAAACTAGAATTTCAAAATCAGCACAAATCAGCGGAACAGAACAAGCAAAAAAACATTTAAAAATACTCCCAAAAAACAGTGATGCAACAGGAGGAATAGTTACAAAATATGATAAGGAATGTCAATATCTATAATGCAACGTTAAGTTACTGATACTGATGCATCACAGCAGCTCAGGGAGTAACGTTTTCTTTAGTTATTTTAGTAATTTGACCTTGCTTGCTAACAGCAAAACTTTGTAACAACTCTGTCTTCTCTTTAATTTAAGATCAGGTAAATGAAGTCTTTACTTCAGGTCACTGCAGGTGACTGAGTGAATGTGGCAGAAAAACTGACTTGTATTAATGTAATTATGCATGCAATTATTATTATCATTATTATCATTAGTTTAATTAAAAAGAGACAGGTTAATGTGGTCAATTATCAACTCTGCACTAATGCAATTATCACTCTAATTAAAACTGCTCTGTGTGGCTCTTGAATTTGAGGAAAAATAATGAATAAATAAAATAAGAAAAAAAAAGTTTTTTTTTAATGTGTATAAGGTTCCAGTCCCCTGAAGTTAATGTTTGTTCTGTTCTCCCTTCGTGTCTGGTTTATTTAAAGAGGCATCGACTGCTGTGTGACATGTTGGAGCTTTTACACAAATAGAAAAATCTAAAAGTGAACTCCAAGAGTCGAGGGGAAGAAGTAAATCTTTGACAGAATGACTCATGAGGAAAAGAAAAACATATCTGACCTGCGATCATTTAATGACATAAGTTAAGGCAGTAAAGGCCGGATGTCAGCCCCTGCTGGCCAACAGTATTACAGCAGCTAAATCTGCGTTGTCTTATAAAGTCGAGCGGTTGCTCTGGTATGAAACATAAATAACTCACACTCCAGACCCAGCTGACTACTTGGATCTGCTTGTCCAGCTCCATCATGAAGATGACGAAGAACACTATGGCGAAGATCATCTCACAGATGGCCACGGCGGAGTAGCCGCCGTACAGGGAGGCGGCGTAGCAGATGAGGATGATTAAACTGAGAACCTGAGAGGGTGAACAGGAGAAGAAGAACAATGAAAACATATAACAAAAACCCAAAAGATCAGAAGTGATCAGACGAGTGGCAGCTAAGTATGCTAACAAATTAGCATCATAGAGTCTATAATGTGCTGCATTGTTATTGGATGTACAGTGAATGTGTTTCATTCTGGTCATGTGAGAAGAAGAAAAAACAATACAGCGTGCATTCTTCACAGTCCATTCCACTGACGGCTGCCAACGTGGAGAAGTCGTAAACACGTGCAGCCTACGGTGGAGGAGCTTCATGTTGGGAAACATGTTTTTTTATTCTTCTTACAAAGAGACTAAAACACAAACATCAAACGGTTTAACTTATTTAACTCCACTCTCTGACGTGTGTTACACATCAGTTCCTGTAGGGGAGCTGTGGTAAACTCTGGACCACGTGAAACATGGTTCAACATCCACCACATTCTCAAGGTCACGGTCAAGGTCATGGAAGGAGTCTGACTGGAACACCGAGTTTTGACTGTGTGCATTGTTACACAGTCAGAACGACAGATACACGACAGCATTCAAACCGCTGGCCAATCACGGTCGCACAGTCAGAACGACAGATACACGACAGATACACTTCAAACCACTGGCCAATCACGGTCAACTATTTTAGCCTGTCAGTCATTCATGTCGTGATACTAATCTCCGACTTCACCCGTCTGTTCTGCGTCAGTAAAAGCAGCTAGCCTATTATTGGTGGAGACGCACAATAACAGTCTACCTGTTATTACCCTCTGGGACACACACACACACACACAGGTGTGTATCAAACAACAACATCTGAGGCTGTTACAGTCAGTCTGCTGAAGTTGGCTTCATTTTGGTCACTGGCTCTCAGCGTCGTGGCTGTCAATGTACAGTCTGTGGTAAACGAAAATGAACCAACTGCGACAGGAGCGGGACATCAATGACGTCAGCTGGAACTGGAAAAACGTTTCCCTAAACAATCCCTAAAAAGTTTACATTTACCAAATATATTACCTACATATATTTGTGAATTTATCAGCGGCTCCTGTCGTTTCTCTACACTCAAAAAAATGGAGGAAAACATTTTTTAAATCTACCAACCGTTTGTCAACTTGTGTCAGTCTCTCTCTCTCTCCCTCTCTCTCTATCTTTATGTATATGTGTGTGTGTGTGTGTGTGTGTGTGCTGGTAAATATAAATAACTGTCGTTAACTTGTAAGACAGGGGTGACAGAAATAGACAGACAGAAACACCAGCGATGAACAGTGTGAGTGGGTGAGGAGGGAGGAGGGGTGAGGTCGGGTGATGGGGGGTGAGGTCGGGTGATGGGGGGTGAGGTCGGGTGATGGGGGGGGGGGTGGCCCCACTGGCACTTGTGTATTTCTGAGCAGAGGGGCTGATGGGGAGTTTTTGTTGATTATTCAGTTTTAATTCGTTCGTCTCCTGAGATGTTTTTTTTTCCGACCTACAACGATCACAACGACTGTTGTCTGAGAGTCTTTCTGTCCGACTGAACAGGTTAGTACATCATGAACTGTCTGGCCCATAATAACACAATTACACCTTAATCAGTGATGGATGATCGGATGCAGTGTTTGGCAGCAGGAAAATCAGTGCTACTTAGATCAACGGTCCTCGAAATAAACCTTTAACATTTAAACTACGTTAAATATTTAGTTGTCATAAAATTAGAGTGAAGTCATTTCACCTTTTTTTTAAAGGAAAAAAAAACATTATATTTTTGTAAATAATATTACCCACAAGTCAGCAGATACAACTACATATTTTTTTAATTCTAACTCCTGTTTTTACAATCATTTTGGAGCCAGATTTATTATTTATCTATTACAAGTATATTTATATTTGGTCAGAGTTTCATTCTCAGGCAGGTGTCAAGTCGCGGCGGTCTATATGATACACACACACGGTGTGGCTAGCCCGGCGCTAACCCTACATCTGCCGCGGCAGCTTTCACCCTCCCCTCTCTGCAACTGTTGCACAAACATGCAGCCAGTTTGATGCATAAGTGGTTCATGTGTTCTGGAGACTGGCAGAGAGCGTCTCTGTAGAGTGGGGGGGGGGAGAGGGGGGGGGGGGGGGGGGGGGAGGGGGAGGGAGGGGGAGGAGGGAGGAGGAGGAGGAGGAGGAGGTCGGGACAGGCTGGATTTTTATTTTTTGGTTAAATAAAGGAACATGCAGCTTGTGTGTTGCTGCAGCCGCAGACCCGCGTAAAAGCAACAA